TCTGGGCAATGAGTACCCTGGGATCTTAATCCCACTACAATCCTCGTAGGAGCCTCAGACTGCTCAGCTAAATAAACTGACTGACTATCACTCCTAGAGTGATCTATAAGTGTGAGTAGCCTATTCTTACTAGACCTGACCTGTCTAGGTTCCAACTCGAGCTCTGCCTCCTGCACAGGCTAGAGCCAGCACAAGATGGACACTGAAGTCTGCCTTCAGAGCCTTTTATCCTCTAGCCCAGCCCTCTGCTGGTTGCTAGGGGCAACACCAAGAGTCAACAGTACCCCTCCCAACTGTATTTTAGGACCCATTTAGGTGTCCATAACATGGAGGGACTGCCTGCACAAAATACTAGGGGTGGCTATTCTACACATCCCTACATTCTCCCCCTGGTGAATTCCTTACGTCCCGGCAAGGAACATATTCAATCACAAGGCAAGAATACATTACAACAATAACACATGTATTGCATTTACTGTACGGTTAACATTTCCATAGTAGCCTCTCCATAGGCCTACTGGGGAACCATGGTCAACCTGAAAAGAAAGCAGTTTAGGCATATCATGCTAGGAGCCCATTACGAAAAATAAGCAGTTAAGGCACATCTTGCTAGAAACCATTTTGAGAAATATATCTCTATCATAGGACAGTGGACTAAGTCTTCTCACTACTGGAGACTTAGTACATTCATATCAAACACTTTACCAAAAAGTGACATTTAGCCATTACCTTATAACCTCTTCGGGGTCACTCTCCTGAGTGTACCCAGGTAACAATGGCATACCTGAAAGAGAACAACAGCATAGAAAAACATTGGACTGTCACTGAACTGTGCCTTTATTAGTGTAACATCTCATATCATTGTGGCAACACCATAGCATTCAACTTATCATATAACCACTCTTGAGTACTATCCAGGTACCCTGGGTCAATAACTCCCTGAAAAGAAAGGCACAAGTTAGACATACTGTTTTTCCTCAAATACTTTAGCATTCCAGTCCATAAAAGAACCTGAACCCATAGTCCTTTTGTATATGCACTTAGGAGGGTAAAGGGGAAATGGAATGAACCTACAAACGTGTAGGTGTTAACTAAAACAGTCCTTGGACCTAACTCCAAGAGGAGCAAAAGAAGAAAAATCCTTCCCTGAAGAAAGTTCAGTCACTTTGGAGGGACAGGAAAACAGGTGTGGACAGTTCAATCAAACTGCAAATCACTCCCAGTGGAGTATTATCAGTGGAAAACAAACCACCACCCACCAGTAGACTCAAATCATGTGAAGAAACCTGGCCTTGGTGTCTTCATAGGGAATGTAGTATTTGGGATGGGGTTTGTCCACCCATTGGCCATCTCCCTCATAGACCTCCAAGGAGAAATATTTGGTGGGATTGTATTTCCCACAACTCTTCACAGCATTTTTCAAAATGGTACGGCCGTACCACCACTCTCTCTCAATAGAACGCAGGTACTCCCAATCCTGCTTTCGCCGCACTTCATTTGGGTTGGTGAGACAACTGTGGTGCATTTTCTCTTTCCTCAGGATCTCGTCGATGAGCCAATCCTCATAGGAAGCAGCCACTTTCTCATACACCCACATAGGAGCATAAGGCATAAAATAGCCCCATTTTCGGTAAACTCGAAAGTTTATCACTCGTTGCACTCGGGAAACAGACCTAAAAACATTGGGGTCGG